GAACTCAGGGGGTTACAACGCTAAAGCTCAGGATGTTACAACACAGCCAACCACCCAGGATGTTGCAACACAAAACTCAGGATATCACTACACTAGATCTCAGGATGTAATCACACAACCCATTACCCAGGTCGTTATAACACAAAAGACTAATGGGCACACAGCCAGCACCTCAACTACTCAGGATGTTACGAAACAGTTGAACAATCCACAAACAATAGCTCCCACACAGCCAACCAATCCACCTACAGCAACTAAGCCAGCACTCCACACCCCCCCACCAGTATTTATAGAGAGACGGCAGCTCCAATCACACTTTGCTCGCACAAGCACGAAGCCGAAGACCCCAGCCTGAAGATGACGAGTGGGACCTCGTCGAAACGTCGCCAAGATACTCTCAATCTTACACGTGAAAAGACCCAAATACGCCAAGACCTGCATATATATATATATATATATATATAATAAATTCATGTCCCAATTATGCGGTTGTGATTCGAGGACTACTTGCAACCTATTGAGGAACTTTTGAGCCAGGCGACCCAAAATGAAAAAGACTCTTGCAGAGCTGCAAAAGACCAATGGCTTAATTCCCAGTTCTGGAAGGGATCTTGAAGATCATCTGTCCAACCCTGTCAACCCCACCCCCTTCTAGCACTGAGGACATTAGCTAGTAAAGTAATGAAACCTTTCAAAGGACGGGAAGGAGAAACCCTTTGCGAGGCCAAAAAAAAGAGAGCCAGGATGAGGAAAAGAGAGACCGACAACTTGACAGAGTTTCTTTCTTTATTTAAAACAAGGGTCCCCAACCCCTGGTCCATGGACCGGCACCGGTCCACACCATGCCAGAAACTGGGCCGCACAAGCAAGGAAAGCATTCCATCTGCGAGATGCAGGCAGCACGCGAAACCACGCACCCTCCGGTCCATAGAAAAACCTCTCTCCATGGAACCAATCCTTGGTGCCCAAAAGGTGGGGGGCACTGATTTAAAAGATCCTTATGACTGCCCCCTTCAAACCCAACACTGGGTAACTCGCCACGAGAAACCCCATAATGTTTTCCAGTTTTTAAACTTCTCGTAAATTCAACACTTGTTTCAGCCACAACATAACCTCCGGGAATTTTCAAATTCCCTGCAGTTCGATCCCCCAGTTTAATCAGAAGCCGCTTTTGGTTACCCCAAACTCCGTCTCTGTCCCTTCCCGACTTAAGTGGTCAGTCCCAGCAGACTCTCGCTGAATTCCCACAGCTTCTTGGCCATGTGGTCATCACGGGCCTGTGGCCAGGGCACTTTTGACCGGCAGTCCACGAAATACCGCCCGCTCAGCCTCTCGATGCCCTCCTCGGTGGCACAGTAGATGGAGGTCTGGGCGCCAGAGTTGCAATCTCGTCTGAACACCTTCATGAATCCAAACACCCGAAATACCCACCATGGAAAGGAGCGACCAAGTTCGGTTCTAACAGATCCTGAAAGCAAAAGAGAGTTGGTTGTGTGAACGGCCTGGGAAGGAAGGAAGGACTTTCCGGGGTGTCCCAGGAGGAGGAGGAGGAGATGGAGATCCCGAATGAACCCTTCACACAACACCCGTTTCCCATTTGGCACCCTTGAGGCAACTTCTAAATATTTCTCGGAAGACCCAACACTGAAGTGAATGGGTGATGTTGCAAAGGGAGTGTTTGTCTGTGTATGTGTGACTGTGTGTGCATCTATAAGGTGTATTGCACACTTGGATCCAATACACACCTGGCTGGCTAATAGATTCAAATAGATAATGTTACGTAATGATGGTCTATCTGTTCTCTTAGTTGGTTAAAATAGTTTGTGTCTGTGTGTCTGTGTGTCTGTGTGTGTGTGTGTGTGTGTGTGTGGTCACACACAAAAATCCATTGGAATTAGGTGGCTAATACCAGCAGTCCTCAACTCACCACTTTGTTTAGTGGCCTTTCAAAGTTATTCTTTCTCTGTTATTCTGTTTTTGCTTCCATATGGCAGAAAAATAGGTGGCCAATGGTTAGCATCTGCAATCCTCAAGGGGGGTGGGAGCAGCCCACCAACCCCCAGCAATTTCAGAGCCTCGGAGGGCACAGGAACAAACTTGCCCATTTTAGGCCACGATAATAACGGGCATTCCAGCTGCCAAGATCCTTTGTGACCAGGATGGGCTGGAAGGCGCCAGACGGAGACGAAGTCTTAGCTCAGTCCTTCTGAATGAATCCTCCTTTGCCCTTTCATAGATAATAATAATAATAATAATAATAATAATAATAATAATAATAATAATAATAATAATAATAATAATAATAATAATAATAATAATAATAA